TCAAGGTATCAGTATGGTAAGTGACTTTAGACGGTCATATCTCTCACCATGAGAACTTTCTGGCCATAAATACTGTGTTTTTGTTAAACAAGAATATGTTTTCTTTCAAATGAACTACACCCGGGATGATGAAAATATCAATAGAATAATTCGAAAAATGAGTAATATGAACCCCATGTCAACAATTTTTTCAAATGTTGAACTTATTTACACAAAAAGATCTTCTTTTTCTGATTTTTATGGCATGAAAAGATTATTCAACAAGGGGTCTAAAACTTCGTCAAAAGTGGAATGGTATTGAAAGTCTAATTTTACAATTTCCGATGACCAAAATTATGCTGAAAACAATGGATAGTATGAGTATTCTCTATGGGGAAATAACATGGGATATGTGTTTCTTAACCCCCTTATTGGCAATTGATAAACTGTAAAAGAAACGTTTGATATGTTTAAAGCCTACCGCATATCGTTTAGCAAATCGTACGCTCGTTTCTGGTGTTGCTCACCGTTTAGTATATAAGGCCAAATTCCTGGAATCTACTCCAAGGTTCACAGTTTTGAGGTCGTTGCCTATTTATGTAGCAGTAGCATACAGTAAAATTTTAAATGTTTGGAACTACTTCGAATTTAAAAAATGAGCAATCAAAGGACCATATTGAAACAGAATATGTAAAAATAATAACATTCATATATGTCCTAACTTTTATATATTTTAGTTTGTTTTGTAGTTTAGCTATCATATCTGTGACCGGCCATGTTATTTTCGGAAAAATTAACATGGCCGAATTGCCAAATTACAAAAGGCCTCAGATTTGCTGCACATTTTACATATTTATCTGAAATATACAAAAGTTAGGACAAGTCCATATGTTTCTATTTTTTATATACTGCTGCAATTTAGTCATTTCGGATTGCTTAAACTCAACGGTAGTTCTTAACATTTAGAATTTTACTGTAGTATAGATCATCACACATAAAGGAATTTTTAGTCTGCCAAATCAATTTTACATTCATGGGTGAAGTTTCAGGATCTTCTATCTGTGTGTAATAGGGAAAAAATTAACATCTAGATTTCCCCATCAAGTCGTAGCACACAGTATGGCTTATGAAATAACCTCCAAATGCAACAATTCACCCTCTGTATGTAAACAGAGTCATTGTAAACGGATAACTTTATCTCCAAGACGATTTCAATAAACTGGAATTTACAAAGCCAACCTTATTTCTTAGAAATGGACTGATCCAGTTGATTCGCCTGTTGTTTTTATACGAGAAGTCTATCGTAAAAGAAGAAGAGAAGAACAAGAACCTCTTTTTTAGAAAATGAGCATTGCCATAAAGTACTCATGATGATAGGTGGTCGCCTAAAATCACTTGCCATATACTGCATATGGACCTTTGAGGTCTGAAATTTAGTTGTCCTTAATGGTCTTCGAACTGTCAAAATATATTCTAGTTTAGATCAAATGGGTCACTAAATACAAAATGATGTCTGAAAAAGAACAAATTTACCGACTGACCTTTGATATGTGATTCAACCATTCATTGACCTTAAAAAGGTCAAAAAGGCCTACTGATTTGACTCCCTCATTAATTTGCTACAGTCAACGATACTGTTAGCATATCAACTCAGGCCCGTTTGCCATTAAAACTGGTTCAACAACCACATGGAGGATAACCTTCAAAATTAAAGTTGACATGGTTACCAAAGCCATTTGATTACCATGGCAACCGTAATAATTGGAGTCATATGAGAGCAAAAACACCCACCCATCTACCACAATTTCTAAAAAAAAGTTTTCTAGGTATACAATTTTTTTTCTCCATATCACCTAGAACCCTTTTAGACCACAGAAATTTCAAAGGTCACCATGTCAAACGTAGAATTGCAGATCTAAATCTGCTCTTCAGACAATGTTTGATAGCTTTTCTTTAAATGACCTACATAATAAGAACGTCTCTGTACATTTTCAAGAATAATTATTTTTGACTTATGACCAAAATAGAAAAATTACATAACGACTTTATAGAGACGTGCCACTACGTTTAAATTGTAACTGATGGTTATTTCGAATATTGTTTTGACTTGAGGACAAGTTTTTCAATTTGAACTCGACAAAAATCCGCATTTTCTTCCATTATAGGCGGTCATGATATCCATTTGTACATTCCTCATTCTTTTCGTTCCATCAGTCATCCAGGCACAGGGTAAGTCAGTGTGACTTTTTAATTATTTACTCAAATGCAATTTAATTACTCCATACTGTCATTTTAATTGTCAAGATGAAACTGTGTGCAATACAGTGTGTCTCAAAAAATGTTACACTTACAAAAAGTTCAATATCTTTCTAATTTTTGATTTTTCCCCTAAAATATACTTTGGATACCAAAATACAAATCTTTCTCGAATAATTTGATACCCTCAGATTCAAAATCTGTCATTGACTGGCTTCACAGGACAGCTTTTAGTGTCCCGTGACTTGCGCCAACTTCTAAGTGATTGGATGGACCAAAGGACAAAAGAGGAACAGTCTCTTTAACATTTTACTTTCTTCTGAGTAGAAGTTTGACCTTTAACTCAGTCATTCTGTAATTTTCCTATTTGTCTTACATATGATCATTGGCCATGGGCCTATCCGCATAAACATGTGGAGGCCTCAACATGTTCTCCAAAGCATATCTGAGGTACCCTTGCCCAGGCGCACATGCCATTGCAATATCACACTGATTCCATCAATTATTTTTGCAGATGTTCATTTAGATCAGTTTGTGATGCTGTAAAGCACTTTCAGAGGCCCTTCAAAAAATCAAGGGTAAGTGGGATGACCCGTGGGGCCAATTCATTGGGTAATTCAATGCTATCTTGTGATTTCCAAAAGAGTTCTACCAAACGATCTGCTTCAGGCCTTTGCACCATCCTGTTGCCATCATACGTAACAACATTGAACACTATGACAATGAAATCTTGTATTTCTATCTAGGAAAGAAACAACTGGATCATTGATCATATCAAGATATCACTGTCCACATCATTCACACCAAAAAAGAATTGATCACTACATGTCCAACCACTGAGAAGTTGGGGCAAATAAGATTTCACATGCGTCTATAAAATCTGTCCTTTACTGCCAATCATGAACGGATTTTGAATCAGATGGTGTGGATTTATTCGAGAAAGACTGGTCTTTTGGTATCTAAGTATATTTTAGGAATAAATGAAACATCATGAAAGATATTGAACTTTGTGTAGGTGACACATTTTTTTAGACACACTGTATATATATTCACGTAATTACCAGTCTTTGCTGGTTATCCCAGGAACGCTTGAAATATTTGAAATGACAAATACCTAAGGATTATGTAACAACGAAATGGCAGCAATTTTCACGATTCTTACAGTAAAATAATAAACGTTTACAACTACTTTTAAGTTAAAAAATAAGCAATCAAATGACTATATTGCAACAGTATATGAGAAAATGGAAACATATGTACAAGTCCTAACTTTTGTATATTTCAGATAGTTATGTATAATGTGCAGCAAAGCTGTGGCCTTTTGTAATTTAGGGAGTTTCAGCCAAGTTAATTTTTTCGAAAATAACATGGCAGAGAAGCATCAAAATATAGGAGGCCACAGATATGATAGCTAAACTCCAAAACAAACTAAAATATACAAAAGGTAGCACATGTATAAACGTTTCTATTTTTATATATTCTGTTTCAATATGGTCCTTTACTTGCTTATTATTTAGATTAGTTGACTTAGTAATTATTGGTAATTTTAATAATGGTGATTTTAATGAATTTGGTGATATTAAGCGATTTCGTACTCCCATATTTGTCAATGTCCGTGTCTCCAGAGTGTCATCAGATTTATTGTTTTTTCTTAAATATAGTCTATTGCCCTTACCCTTTAATTTTAATCTAGTTCAGTCGATGGTGTACTGTATAATATATAGTCCGTATTGCAATATTCAAATGAAAGTTTCACTTTTTGATACATTGCTCATACCATTTGCTAATTTGTACAATAAAATAGACATAAGGAGAAAATTCCTAAAACTTAGTTTTATGGTCATTGTATATCAAACAAATTGATCAAAAGCGGCTTTAATCTTCAGTAGTTTCTCTAAATGATCAGATATTTTGTTTTAAGATGAAATAAAAATCTTCAACCTTTCAAACAACCAATTCATTATGTCATCTGTTGTAAACTTCAAAAGATATCAAGATTAAACATTTTTGAATTTTAACTGACCCCTGCTAGACCATAAATTAATAAGTAAACGGTAATGTTGACATGTGCTCAACAGATGATAATGTACGGAGGAATATATGTTTTATCATTTAAACATATAAAAAACAAATGGCAACACAAAAACATTTGTTACAAAAAAACAGCAAAAATGTATCATTTTTTTAATTTCTGTCATTTTAGCCATCATTCACTTTTGAGCAACACCATGTGAGACCAGTACCCACGGTACTAATTTTTTATATTACAAAACTAGACGTAAATGTTGCTGTCATTTCGCTTGGATTTATGATAAACATCAACATCAGCCAGAAAATGTGTACGTGAAGAAACAGAATTGGATTGTGACTCGGATTTATGCAACATATTGAGTTTGTGCAGAGTTCAATCAGTCGCAATAGAAGTTGCCATGCATCCAGTCCCGCAATCATAAAGAGTTATCTGGAGATTAATGGAATAAATTAGAATATGATTAATTTCCATTTTACTCGAAGCCTCGCTGAACATACTGTTCAAACATGTTTCGTTTTCATACTTTTTTTGGATTTCAAAGTTTGTGATTGATTCATGTTATTGTATTGTATTGTATTGTATTGTATTGTATTGTATTGTATTGAAAGTAATTATGATATGAATATCGAATGAGGTATAAAGATGATATTATACAAACAAAATGTTTATTATTTTACTATGATGTATAGAATGCCCTCTGGAGTGTCCACTGGATCTTCAAATTATACAGGACATATCATGTAGTATAAAAGAAGTTAACAAATATCAAGTACAGGATTTCCTCATAGCATTTGCAGAGGCACTTAGCCCTTGTATTGGCAAGGGTGATACAAAAACACAGGTAGGTTAACAGGCTGCGTTTACTTATTAGGAGGCCCTTCAAGGGGCCTCCTATCATTTTTGTAGTTATTCTTCTTTATTTATTATTCTTTTTAGCATTTTTTCTCCAACTTCCAGCTAGCTTTGACTTATCTCATATATAATCTAATTAGGGACCTGGGCTGGACTTGTCGGGAAATTAGTTCATATCTAGGTCAAGGTCAAAATCTAGGTCAAATCTAAGTTTTTTTCAAGTTTCTCAAATCCTGACACTACACTTCAATATTTTGGCTGAATTTTTGCATACAGATAGATATTAGTATTCTATTAGTCTAAGCCTTTTGCCGTCGAGGGAAATTTTGCCTAGATTTTGAGATATTGAAGGTCAAAAAAAGGTCAAAAAAGGTCTTTTTTCAACTTGCTTCAAATTGACCAATTTTTTTTTAAAACTCATCTACAAGTTCTCAGGATTTCAAATCTGACCTTACTTTTGACCTTTGACCTTTGGTTGACCTTCAGTGACCTCCGAAAGGTCAAAAAAGTTGATTTTTCAAATCAATTTTCTGGATTCAAATTTAGGCATATTTATTCACAAAAGACCTTCTGAGGTCTAAAAAAGAAAAAATTGCAAGGTCAAAGGTCAAGGTCATCAAACGAAATCACAAACTGTGTTTTCTAAGTTTCTCAAAATTGGAGACTACAAATCAATTTTTTTACTGAAAGTCAGAATATATATTCCTCTAAAGGTTCTACACATATGAGCAATTGACTATTTATTAAAATTTTGCTCCAGTTTTGAGATAAACTGAAAAAGGTCAATTTCGAAATTTTTCAAGGTCAAATTTCAACTTGCTCTAAATTGACCAAACTTTTTTTTAAAAAGCATCTACAAGATCTTAGGAACTCAAATCTGACCTTAGTTTTGACCTATGACCTTTAGTTGACCTTCAGTGACCTTCGAAAGGTCAAAAAAGTTGATTTTTCAAATTGATTTTCTGGATTCAAATTTAGATTAATTCAATCATAAAAGATACACTGAGGTCTAAAAAAGTAAAATTTTTAAGGTCAAAGTTCAAGGTCATCAAACAAGATCACAAACTGTGTTTTCTAAGTTTCTTAAAGTTTGTGACTACAAATCAATATTTTTCCATGAAAGACTGAATATATATTCATCTAAAAGTTCTTCACATATTAGCAATTGATTATCTATTAAAATTTTGCACCAGTTTTGAGATATCAGAGCTCAAAAACTGAAAAAGGTTGAATTTCGAAAATTTTCAAGGTCAAATTTTAACTTGATCTAAATTGACCAAACTTTTTTTTAAAACTCATATACAAATTCTCAGGATTCCAAATCTTACCTTAGTTTTGACCTATGACCTTTAGTTGACCTTCAGTGACCTTCGAAAGGTCAAAAAAGTTGATCTTTCAAATTGATTTTCTGGATTCAAATTTAAGTGAATTTAATCACAAAAGACCCGAAGAGGTCCAAAAAAGTAAATTTTGCAAGGTCAAGGGTCAAGGTCATTGAATTAAATCACAAACTGTGTTTTCCAAGTTTCTCAAAATTGGTTACTACAAATCAATATAATTTAATGAAAGTCTAAATATATATTCCTCCACTTTTTCTTCACATATTAGCATTTGATTATCTATTAAAATTTTGCACCAGTTTTGAGATATAAGAGCTCAAAAACTGAAAAAGGTCAAAATTTCGAAAATTTTCAAGGTCAAATTTCAACTTGATCTAAATTGACCAAACTTTTTTTAAAACTCATCTACAAGTTCTTAGGATTCCAAATCTTACCTTACTTTTGACCTTTTGTTGACCTTTAGTTGACCTTTAGTGGCCTCCGAAAGGTCAAAAAGTTGATTTTTCAAATCGATTTTCTGGATTCAAATTCAGGTGTATGTAATCACAAAAGAGGTCCAAAAAAGTAAAATCTGCAAGGTCAAAGGTCAAGGTCATCAAACTAAATCACAAACTGTGTTTTCTAAGTTTCTCAAAATTGGAGACTACAAATCAATATTTTTTCATGAAAGTCAGGATATGTATTCCTCTATATGTTCTACACATATTAGCAATTGACTATTTATTAAAATTGTGTACCAGTTTTGAGATATTGGAACTCAAAAACTGAAAAAAGGTCAAATTTCGAAACTTTTCAAGACTAAATTTCAACTTGCTTCAAATTGACCAATTTTTTTTAAAACTCATCTACAAGTTCTCAGGATTCCAAATCTAACCTTACTTTTGACCTTTGGTTGACCTTCAGTGACCTCCGAAAGGTAAAAAAAGTTGATTTTTCAAATCGATTTTCTGGATTCAAATTTAGGTATACGAGGGGTGATCAATAAGTAATGGACGCTTTTTTACACAGATACTTTTTATAGACCAATCCCTTTGATTTTCCTACCAGTGATACATCATTCAATTATCTATCATTTCTGAGGATTTGAAGACAAAATATAAAATACATGTTGATATATCTTTATTTCCTTGAAGGAGGTACAGGTACCCCGGGACCGACATTTACGTCACATATTCAGTTTTCAGCCAGTTTGGCAAATTTCAGTTAGATTTAAACTTTTCCTATGCAACATTTGTTGTGTTGTTTGAAATACTTTGCTGACTGGTCAACACATAAACAGAAAGGGTTGTGATGTCAGAGTGTTGTATGGAAGGGGTTTGCAGGTCAATTTGAGAAAGCATTGTGGAAGAAAGGGGTGGTGAGAGAAGGGAACACCGTACTCCATATGGACATTGCACCTGCCCACAGATCTCAAAATGTTCAGAAAACAATATCCCTGGACCTCAAAATTGAGCCCTTGGCCAATGCACCGTATTGTCCAGATCTGCTCACATGTGACTTATTTATTTCAATACTACTTATTTCTATAGAGAAAGGATGCATGTTTATTGATATTGATGAAATAAAACAACCCGTGCAACTGCATCTTGCTACCATGTCAGAGAATGGATTCAGCCTTGTCTCACAATCTTGAATTAAGAGGATGAGGAATTGTGTACATGTAGCACTTGATGGAACCTATGTAGAGGGCTCTGTGGAATGAATGTGGCATGAATACCACATAGTGATGATAAAATATTCAAAATCAACTATGGCATAACAAAATGGGGTAATTCATGACCATAATGGTTTGTTTTGTTCAGCCTGCATTCAACTGCATTGCATGTTAAACAAGCTAAAATAGCTTCAGAATGTTTGACGTAAATGTCGGTCCCGGGGTACCCATACATCCTTCACAGAAATAAAGATATATCAAAAGATATTACATGTTTTGTTTTCAAATCTTCAGAGTTGATAGATAATTGAATGATGTATCACTGGTAAGAAAATCGAAGGAATTGGTCTATAAAAAGCATCTGTGTAAAAAAGCGTCCATTACTTATTGATCACCCCTCGTATTTATTCACAAAAGACCTTCTGAGGTCTAAAAAAGTAAAATTTGCAAGGTCAAAGGTCAAGGTCATCAAATCACAAACTGTGTTTTCTAAGTTTCTCAAAATTGGAGACTACAAATCATTATTTTGAAATGAAAGTCAGAATATATATTCCTCTACTAAAGGTTCTACACATATTAGCAATTGATTATCTATTAAAATTTGGCTCCAGTTTTGAGATATTATAGCTCAAAAACTGAAAAAAGGTCAAATTTCTGAATTTTTCAAGGTCAAATTTCAACTTGCATTAATTCGACCAAACCTTTTTTAAAAATCATCTACAAGTTGTTTAAAGTTCATATATGACCTTGTATTAGAGATTTGACCTTTGGCTGGCCTTTGAATGTTCAGAAACGAATATAGGGCCTCCGTAAGATTGCTTGCAATCTTAGATCGTTCGATCTCTAGTTGTTAATATTATACAGGGTGTCAAATGTACCAAAAAGTATATCAACAGCACAGATAAACCAATTAATATTTTCAAACATCTATAACATGGTTTTATTTCATATTTTGATGACAGCCTGCATCCTTATGGTACATTGGTCATCACATTTGATTATATTTCAGGTGGAATGTTTTGAATTTCTATTTGGATGTTTGTCTTACGTTGTTCTCGGTGTTTTGGATTGGGATTAGATTAAAACTGTTCCTTTAAATACCCCCAGAGAAAGAAGTTCGAAGATGTAACGGCAGGACGATCACAGAGAACCATGTCAATATTATCGTCAAATGATTTAGCAGTTAATAATGGAGTTCCACCTTCCAGGGTTACGGAGACCGAATGATATCCAAATCAGAACACTGTGGTCTCAAAAAGATTGAGCACCTCCATATACAGCAAGTGCCACGCAAAAGGTCCCTTGAGAGCAGTTTCTTGGACGTCTGATCTCTCTGTATAGCAGCATTTGGAGGGTCTCTCTATTCAACAGATTTGACACCCAAGACTTTCTCTCTGGGATAACTTGAAGAGCAATATTTACTTTGTATGCCAATCCCAGGCAAAGAGAGCTAGAACAACTTAAGGTTAACATCCAAAAGAGAAATTCAAAACATTCTACGAGAAACATTATTAAATGTGATGGACAATGTAGTAAGGATACAGGCTGTCATCAAAATATGAGAAGGTTAAATTGAACACCTGGTGTAATTAGGGTTAAAGCATTAAAAAGGCAAGACTGAATTAAACATTTAGTATTGGGGAGAAGTACATGATTTGCCTAAAAAACATGTAAAAGTACCTGGAAAAACTGATTGGTTTATCTTTGCTGTCTTTTATGTCAAACGGTCACAAGCTTTGGTTAATTTAATCCAGGGGATATTCGAAACAGTACCAAAATGTTATGTGAATATTATTTTGAGTGGCTCAACCAGTATCAACTTAATGCTACACAGGATTAAAGGAGTTGTCGCAAACATCAGCAATTCCATGTTATCGACTTCCAATCTACTATTTTTTCTCAAAGAATATGAACAGGTTGGGGACTGGTGTATTGACATATTTGTAGTGTAAAACAGTCAATTATATGTGGGATAGTAGATATCAATTGTGGTAACCGTCTTTGTTTATGTTCCATTTAACTTACTCCGTGTGGTAAAAACAGGAGATATTAATGGTACGAATATTGATACAATAAATACACTATAATTATGAGTGTTGCCTTAATTGATATTTGGTTAATGTTTGTTTGGTTTGCAAACCAGTTGACCAAATGAGACCATCGGAGTCCTTCTAAAGTTCAGAAGTTGAATAAAATCTTAAGATTCCAATGTAAACATCAGAGTGTCTGTTTTATGTTCCAGTAACATTTGTTCAAATGACCGTGTACTCTAAAACACACCAGTCCTTAACCTGCTCCAAAAATGAATTGTCGTTGTCCTGTCTGCCAAAGATTTTTTTCATGTTATCGATTTATTTCTAATAATAACAAAGATTCTTTACTTTGCTCGATGCAACAGAAGATACGAATTACAATATGAAAGGAAGTGAGCTTTGCCACTTTCGTTTATTGAAGAATCATGGTGTTACGAACATGGTACAATATACGTGATGTACAAACATTGGTCACAATGCCTCAATAATGTTGTCTACAATATGTTATTTTGAAAAAGTCTTAAATACATGAAATAGCTAGACCGTTAAGGTGCCATGGAAGTTAACAGGAAATGACAAAACAGGAAGTGACAAAGCCATGCTGGATTTTGAAATTTTTTTGAATCAAGATATCAGAGTTCTGTTTGGACCTCTAGTCAGTTTTACTAGTTCCGCATATCATTTACATGACTGGGAACACAATGGAAATGGTCAGAATGACCATAAAAATGATGAAATAACCTTTTCAGCCCTCTGAAAATGTGACTGAAAAATAGCTAAAAGTAGGTGCTCAGGAAAGGTCACTGAACAGAATCTTTCGATTTTTTCAAAAAACGTGTCCAATATATTGCTCTAAATGATACAATCTTTGAAATTTTGAAAAATTGTCTGAAACAATAATGGCTGTAGTAAAAAGGTAAATCGATCGATTTTCAATTCAGTTTTTTTCATTTTTTTCTTTTTCTAAGAATGATATCAATTGTATCATTTTAAGCAATATATTGGGCAGATTTTCTGAAAAAGTCAAAAGATTCTGTTCAGTGACCTTTCCTGAGCACCTACTCTTAGCTGTTTTTCAGGCACATTTTCAGAGGGCTGAAAAGGTTATTTCATCATGTTTATGGTCATTCTGACCATATCCGTTGTGTTCCCGGTCATGTAAATGATATGTGGAACTAGTTAAACTGACTGGAGGTCCAAACAGAACTCTGTTATCTTGCTTCAAAAAAATTTCAAAATCCAGCATGGCTTTGTCACTTCCTGTTTTGTCATTTCCTGTTAACTTCCATAGCACCTTAAGCGAGATCATTAAGGCTTAAATATTACATTTAGCGAAATTGATCGATCCCGGCCATTAAAAACCGAAAACAAATGAGGAAAAGGTATAGTACGCGATCGATCAAAGACATGTAAATGTTTTAGAATTATAAAATACACTTGTACCCTGATACAATAACGTTTAATAAAGTAAATGTTTCTCAACTTGACAAAAATAAATAATCAATTAAAGATCAAATGTCTAACGATACAAATTACAAATTTTATATTGTGTTTAAAAATATGTTGAGTGTGTATGTCGTGGCAAGAACTAAAAATGACTATACAACCGACCCTCTATTCTTCGAACCGTATCACTCACTCGCTAACCCCCCCTATCACACCAAACTAGTTCTTACCCGTTCTTACCAGTCCTACGAAAACGTCGTAAAACGGGCTCAATCTGGCTGTGATCGGGAAATATGTCTGAAATAATTAGCTTCTTCGTTCTTAAACAGTCTTCAATACGTCCATCTCGTTCGCAGTTCGTTCAGGTCGGACCACGTCGGTGTGCAACGTAGTAGAACGCGTCCCTTAGTCTAGAAGGTCAACATGACCTGATTACAGAACGGTATGGTCGCCATCGAATTTTGAATCGATTCAAAATTCTGAAATCACATTCCCGTCTAAGAACGTTCATAAAGTTCGTAAATAGACCTTCGAAAGATGCAGCTACGTTCATTCCGTTCGTACACAGTTTAAAACCAGTTTTGAAGAACGCAGTGGCAACTTGTTTGGTGTGATAGCTATATTTTTGCTAACTCGTTCATAAACAGTGTTAAATACGTTCTTAATCAGTTTAAACACGTTTGCAATTAGTTCTACCTCGTTCTCAACACCTCCTCAGACAGTTCAACTCGTTGTTAAAACGTCCCTAGTAGGATTGAAGTACGACGGTTCCGTTCGTAGTACGTCCAGCTCGTCGTTAGTACGTTGTCATTCGTTCTAATTGTAGAACGTGACGACCACGAGAACATTTTGAGCATTGTCTAAGTTCTAGAGGACCTACCCGTTCGAGTACGTTCGATGAAGTTTGTGAATAGATCCCAAACGGTTCTTAGTAGGTCCAGTCCGTTCGTACACAGTTGAAGCCCGTTTTTGAGAACGTAGTGAGAACTAGTTTGGTGTGATAGTAGGGTAAGCTAGCATCGGCCAATCACCTCTTAACCCTACACAACAAACTGTTCCATTTACGCAACGCACAAAGAAATCATTTATTTGCTAATGTCGCTTTGCTCAAACGCAAATAAATGTGAATAAACACAATCAGCTGATTGCCAACGTTTTTCAACATTAGCGGCACATCGCCTCAAAAATGAACATACCGTTTCAAAGTACTGACTTCCTTTATTAAGAAAATACATTTCGTTTTGATTGTTACAGGGGCCTTTGCCTCTAAAATGGGGTCACTCAAGGCGGCCTTCTATAACAACGTCTCGTATATTTTTTTAAACGTTTTACCTCATTACTGCATTTCAACTATGATACCAACTGATTTTGATTAAAATCAAGTAATTTGAGAATATAGAATTTGAAAATGTAAAAAGATTGTCCCCTTCGCTTTCTCAGGTCATCTTCATCACGATAATTCACCAAAACCTGAGACTTTATGTTAGTCTCAGCCCAAACACAGAGCAAATTTAGCCCAAAATATAATTGATACAATTGGTTGCGCGTGTCTGAGCCATGCACTATACTCCCCAGATCTGGCTGGATGTGACTTCTTTCTTTTTCCAACAATTAAAAACCAATTACGTGAAAATTCACTTTGAAATTAGGAAATGAGGAAATTATCCACCAGTTTACGCATGAATGCTACTAAGTCGGTAACGATGGACTGCTCCATGTATTTGAAGATTGGATAAAGCATCATAGGGAGTGTGTTGCTCACAAAGGAAATTACTTTGAAGGTGTAGAATTGATTCAGGAGTAATGTGAACACAAAGTATATAGTATAAAAGAATAGGTGTTTGACATTATTCAGACTTCATCGAATGGAAATTGATTGTCACTAATGTTTTGAAAAACCGCAATAAAATATCACATCCACCCTGACCATACCTTAGAAACCATGGCAACCAATGAAATAAAAATGTGATGTCACAGGACAATGATACTTTGTCAATGTTATATTCAATGTATTAGTTATATTATGTGGAAAAATCACATAGAATGGGTTTATATTGATAAATTAGAGCCAACGGTTCATTACTTTCTGTTCGCCCCTCGTTACATGTATAGAAGTTCCAAAACAAAAAAAATTTACGTTTTTTGATATTCCTTACAATGAGAAAGACATTTTTCAACTCGAGAATCGGAATTTTTTTATTTGGTGCGTATATACCGTGCTACGGATCCATTCTTCATATTCTGGAGTCATACCATGGACTAATATTTGCTTTGCTATTCCATCTTTTTAGGGTTAAACTAAAGTATTTTCAACTTCACGTGCTTCAGAACGATGTACTTCTGTTACAACTGAACGTATGTCCTTGATTCATTATAGATGGGGTTGATAAGTTATGACAAATTTTCCTACAATAATTTCTATCTGAATGAGTACAGTTCGGGAGCAGCTATAGCAGATGCTATAGCCAAAATGGACTGGAACCACGAAAATATTAACGAAGGAGGACGATGTGGTACAGCAACATATAAAGCGCTAAACGATGCGAGAAAAGTGGCTCTTACAGAAGCACATGGTGTAAGAGATCCATTGGGTATAAAATCACCACCTATAAAGAAGGTGGTTATTGTGCTAACTGATGGTGCTACACACCCCAAAACAAAGTCAGGCGCCACTATCCAGGCCGCTCGGGATCTCAAAACAGATTCTGGTGTTACGTCATTTGCCATTGAATTACCAAATCATAAGATGAATAATGACCCTGAGATGCAAGCCCGTGGAACAAAGGAATTTAGGGAAATTGCATCCACACCTGAGGGACTTATTAGGGTGACAGACTTCGCTGCTTTGATAGACAGAATGGGAGAAGTTTTGGGAAATCTGTGTGGTAAGTCTTTGCATAAGGTGATTTAAGATGGACATTTTCCTTCTTGACTTAAATTTTTCTTCTCATCCAGCGATGAATTCTCTTTTCAAAAATATACAATATTATGTATGGCAAGTATCTATACTACGAGATAATGTTTTTGTTGAATATAGTCAATTGTACAACGATGGGATTATATCTACTTGGCTAATTAGCTAATCATAAAATGACCTAACTGAACCAACCACCAACTAACCCACTAACTAACCAAGAAAACATCTAGCCAATCACTTTGTTTCTTAATTCACTTCCATCTCATTAGCCAATTCCAAACCGTTTCAATCCAATGTTATTTTCATTTACTTAATAGATAATACACTGAACAATAGGGGAGTACTTACTGTTACTCTACTTACTTTTAACACAACCACACAATTACTTTGTTTCTTAATGCACTTCCACCTCACATGGTCCATTCCAAACCGTTTCAATCTAATGTTCTTTACATTTTACTTACAGCAGGGATGTGCTTACTGTTGCTATACTTACTTTTAACACAACCAATCAATTACTTTGTTTCTTAATGCACTTCCACCTCACATGGTCCATTCCAAACCGTTTCAATCTAATGTTCTTTACATTTTACTTACAGCAGGGATGTGCTTACTGTTGCTATACTTACTTTTAACACAACCAATCAATTACTTTGTTTCTTAATTCACTTCCACCTCACATGGTCCATTCCAAACCGTTTCAATCTAATGTTCTTTACATTTTACTTACAGCAGGGATGTGCTTACTGTTGCTATACTTACTTTTAACACAACCAATCAATTACTTTGTTTCTTAATTCACTTCCACCTCACATGGTCCATTCCAAACCGTTTCAATCTAATGTTCTTTACATTTTACTTACAGCAGGGATTAGCTTACTGTTGCTATACTTACTTTTAACACAACCAATCAATTACTTTGTTTCTTAATGCACTTCCATCGCATATGTCCCATTCCAAACCAAATAAGACTATTTACAGGGTGTCCGGAAAGTAAAGATACAAATACTCTTATTTTAAGAAATTTGGGTTTTTTGAAATGAAATTGCTACAGATTGTAGAGAAACAATATTACAATATATCTACCAACTTTCATCACATATAGTCTAAATGTGTTTAAGTTACGGTTGTTATGGTTACGGATGTGAAGGGTATGTGGAGCAGTTCCAGAACAACGCTAAAAAGTGAAAAATTGCTAAAAGACAACCATCTGAAACAGTGGTTTTTGTTGTATTTTCTATCTATGTTTTGTTTTGTTCATCATTGTATTATTGCTGCCATAGTGTTTTCTTTTATATAATGATGTCATTGCTACATATCAGAACTATGTTATGTCACCATTATAATGAAAGAAATATTATACAAGTGCCTAGAAGAATGGTCCCTGGCCATTCGTAAGAAAGTCAATATTGCATCTCCACACTGCACCAATTCACAAAGCAAAAAAAACAAATCTTACAATAGAGTGTCTTGACATTAAACCTTTCTATACAAGGGCCGAGCAATATATTCGCTACTTTTTGCTTTATTTTCTTTTATATTTGTTTATTTCCATTGAAATTTGGTACAGACATAGAGTGTAGAATTCCGCATCTTTTGATTCCATTTTCAAGCCCATTGCCAAATATGGCAAAAAATTATGGTTGTCATAGCAACGGGAGGAATGAGCCACCGGAGCTGCCCATAATTTTACTGCAATTGCACATGCAACAATATCTTTATATGCCCATTTCTCATAACAAAAACATTCAGTTTGGGTAATTTTTATAAACATTGTTTACTGGACATTGATCCAATATTCAGAACAATGGTTGTGATGTCATAGATGTTCTTTTCAAACAATAAAGAGGTCACAATTGATCCGCATATGCATCACAAAAGGGAGACTCTGCTTCCTGAGTTGCATCAAGAAGCAAGCATGGTAAATGCAGTTCGTAAAAAGTGCCCAGTATTGATCAACCATATGATATATCATCAAGATAATGCTCCATCACACAGGGCCCGTGAGGTAACTGATATATTAGCAGCTCTAAACATTGAAAAATTTGATCATGCACCATACAGTCCAGACCTTGCATTGTGCGACTTTGAAATTTTCGGCAAACTGAAGAATGAGCTACGCGGGCAGAGGTTTGGTGACCGTGAAGAAGTGGTTGAGGCCGTCCATAAGGCCCTAAAAGACCTATATGGAAATGGAAACGGACTGCAACAGGCCTATCAAGACTGGCTTTCCCGATGTAGAAAATGCATAGCTGCAGATGGACACTATTTTGAGAATGAGGCATGGAATGAGGAGTAACTGTCTTAATTAACAAAAAGGACATTTTGTATAAAAGTTGTTTTCTGAAACATTGTCACAAATGTCAGCTCCGGTGGTCACTATCAATCAATGTTCAATGCCATGTAAAATATTACGGATGTAACCAAATAAATGCACATTTGGTGATATTACAGAAAAATGTTTTTTCTATTATTTTGGAAAATTTCAGGTAAGATACTTTATTATTAACAATTTGAGAGCAAAAAGTAGCGAATATATTGCTCGGCCCTTGTACAATGCCCCATATTCACCTGATAAAGCCTCTTTAGACTTTTACCTTAATGACCATTTGAAAGCAATAATGTAAAAAGTTCAACATACAAATGAGACTCAGCTGGAAGCCAATGTTATCAGCAATCTGCGAGATGGACAGCAGCGGTTTTGCCAGGCCTTTGAATCGCCGGTCAAGATGCATCAAGAATGTATAGATAATGGGGAAAATACTTAATATTCAATGATAGTAGTAATATGAAATGATCAAATAATGTTACAGTACTAATCCTTATGCTGTTGTGGTACATTATCTGATATAATATAGGAATATATGGTGGAGTGCCAAGATCATATGAGAAGGAAAGAGATTTGTAGAACACAGTTGTGACGTTGCTCCACTTACCCCCGACTCCCGTTACCATAACAACCATAACTTTTTCATTATGAAACTGAAAGTCATGACAGTTGTAGGATATATTCTTGTAATGTCATTCTACAATCTGTAGCAATTTCATCTCATAACAGATAAATCTCTTGAAATGAGAGCATTTGTATCTTTACTTTCCGGACACCCTTGTATGTGTATAAAATAGTAATCCCATGAGTATAAAATGACAAAATCCAACAACTGGACCTCCGACAAGTTGGATTGATATAATTCTGTGGACAATTTCTGAAACTGATAAAAATGCACATTTTCACAGGAAGTGATACACATCTTCAAAATTGACCAAAATATACATATAAAATAAAGAAACATGTAGGAATAATTTCTCTTACTTTATTTCGGATTAATTTATTATATAAATTATATCATATATTATTGCTCGGTTTTAAATATGGGGTATATCCCAAGATAAATGTGATATCTTACCTCGGACCCTGACCATTCGGTAAGATGTCTATATTCCCCGCAGGATATACCACATATCCAAAACCTCGCCTAACATAATCAATTTATCAAACAATTTTATCATAGATATCAAGGGTATTGACAACACTGCATTTTTCAAAAAATGTATTCAGGGAATCAGTATTCATTGTATACATTTCATGGGAACAATGAAAAGGGAAATCCTCCAAACCCATGTACACTTTGAAGTTTCAATATTACTTGTAATTAATAATTTTTGAGTGTTATCAATGAAATGTATTTTGAAGGCTTTGAAATAATCTATCTAATTGCATCTTAATATGAGAAATTTTAATGATTTCAATTTTACATATGCCTTTCTTCAGATGTACCCCCAACGGAATCACCACCAGAACCCGTAGATCCATGTAAGAAATTTGCCTCCTTCGATCGAGAATGTGAAATAACAATGGCAATGTGTAATCCGGCGGATCCAAGATGCTGTGGTTGTCCCTTGATGTTTAAGGACCCAGTAACCAAGGTATTAGAAAAAATAAAACACATCATATGACATTCTAGGATATTATTTGAGCTTGATCAGGTGAAAGTACACATATGATACAAAGCATTGTACGTAAAATGGATATTTCATGTTATCATTTACATGTGGTCACCAAAGCTTTGTTGCACAACTCAACAAAACAAACACGTTGAATATATAGATCTATTCATATAATTAATAAATTTGTATTATCGTTGCTTGGACAGAACAAGTCCCAAGTCTGTATATTTACTCTCATTTCTTCACTTTTAAGAGTTAAGTCATCACGTTTTACATACATATTCCCTGGATAAATCCTAGAATTTATTTGGTTTTAATTATAATTTATATGTTAAAAATTAGGAATCGTTTTATTCTGATTGGTCTGTCCAGACTATACTATATGGATTTTTATCAAACCATATTATTTTCTTGTAGTTGGATAAAACGCCGTTCGAGGTAGCCTACAAACAGGGAAATTGTTTATGTGAGGAATGTATTCGAAAATCACATTTCTGTCTCCCAAAGTCCTTTCGCCCGATCCTAAGCTATGGAAAACCAAAAGTATCTCGTTATTACCCAGGAGCACCACCAGAAGACGCTGACAATACTCCTTAAGTTCACTATGACTATCTTAATATATTGAATAAAAGTTTGAAGAGTTGAGTCACATAGAATTTGTTGTTAGCAAATACACGTAAATAACACCTGCATCCTCGGGAAGCCCAACCAAAGCCTTTGAGGGACAAGTGTCATAGAGATCAAAAATTATACGTATTCTGTTATGTACACAGCAAAGGTACCTAGCTATGAACGTTTTATTGACTATAATATTACACCATTCAATTCAAGAATATATGTGTCTCATAGTCAAGGATTATATATCCCCGAATTAACATCATGGTATTTTCATTTTTCCATCTTCGGAGGTCTAGAAATCATTGTGCCTGGAGATTTTGAACAAGAAGTATATTGTTTTGAATATCGATGCCGGCAAGATTATTTTGTATAATAGGATCAGTAGCCCAATAAATATTCCACAATATGAGACATCAAATCTTGTTCCGAGGCTCTTGGCTGTCCAATTATCATTGTTACCCCGACTTCACATTTCTCAATTCACGGTAGCACCATTCAGATTTGGAAAGACAAGAGCCCAAAGATAAAATATCACAGTTTTGCCTCTTATCAACGCAGGATGACTTGTATACCATTCATTAATTAGTAATCAAAAAGGTAAAGAATAACAAGACGCTTCGAATGAGGTATGATGTGTCTCATGTTTTTCTGAAATAGCTGCACAATCGTCATTTTAAAATCTGAAATTTTCATTGGTGTCTCATCTTGTGGAGTATTTATTGAGCTTCTGATTCTACTACAATTTGGAATTTTTCAGACATGTATGGTTTTGAATAGGTTCTATTTATGCCAATACTTTATTTAAGTCTCTCAGTTGAAACAAATCTAAAACCAATAGAAACCCATAACCCATTATTTTGGGGAAAATATGTCAGTTTGCTGCCTGGTCATCAAATAAAAGAGCACGTAGGTTATCGCAAACAATTTCAAACGATTCTAACTTGAATTATGAATATTTTCTGATCATGAACATGGGTGTATCTTTTAGATCCATTCAATATCTTCAAGAAAAGTATATATAATGATAATTAAGTTAATCAGACCTAAGTGATATCGAAGGGACAATTGACCAATTAACATACTTTTTCAAAAATGTTGACCTAATTTCCACCAAAAATGCAACCTATTATTAAATTGTTGAATCCATAATTAGAATGTGCTTTGAGACATGTTCGATTTCCTAAAAGGAAAATTTGATTGCTCCAGGGACTTTAAAGATATTCAATTTGGTTGACCAAAATGAACTGAAACCAATGGATAGCATGAGATTTTTCAATGGAGAAATAACATGGGGAACACTTATCTTAATGTAATTAAGTTTTTCTTTCAAGAACTATTTGAAACATCAAAATAAAGAATAGTTATGCATTAAACATTGTAAAAATGATTGCATTTTTGGTGAAAATGGGTTCAACATCTTTGAAAAGGTGTGTTGATGGGTTAATTGCTGGTTAAATATCTCCGAGAATGGATTGATCTAAAAGATAAACTTGTCTTCATTGTCAGAAAATAGTCATAATCCAGGATATAACCTTCTGAAATTGTTTGCGATAACCCACGTGCTCCTTTGTCAGTCAAATCTGCATGGTTTTATATTAGCTCAAAAGTACAATATTATGCAACTCAACCAGCATAATGTTCATGCATCAGGTATCAAGGATAGATGTGGTTACATTTACATATAAATTGAACTGACAGATCTATGTTTTCATCTCCAAATTCCAAGGTTGAAAAAATTGAAAACTTGTTGATCACAATACTTAACGTGACATTGAGATATTATGGTATTATTCTTACTGGTTAATAAATACCTGGTTTCAATGGATGCAAAGAGTTGCACCAGTCTCACCAATTTTTATGTTCGTTGTACTTTGCCAGCCTGGCTCATAAAGAAAAGGGTAATGTAATGTGTCTTTTTGAAAAAATAACACTTACTACTTTTTTACTACTTTTCATGGGATGAAGTAGGAACAAATGAAATTATTAGAAGTTACTAAGAGAAGGAAGATTGGAAGATTATGAATCAAATATGAAATAAATCATTTGTTTATATACGATCATGGACCACTGAATAGTCATTGTATTGGGTGAAATTGCCCTTGTGCAAAGTTTGAAACATCCTAAATCAACTGATCCTTATTATGCAATCAAGAAAATCGTTATGTAATTGGGGCCGAGGTGAACTTTGGGTCACACGACTTACTAGTTCAACAAGTTAAACCTAGTCTGGGCCTTATTTCTTATCTGACATTTCTTGTGGCCCGCCCTAGGTTTAACATCCGTGCCTATTCGGCCCTTGATGCAAAGAATTTAATGAATGCCTATGGCAGCGCATAGAATATCATGCGCGTTTTATTAATAACTGATAGTGAGAATTTGCAACCAATGAAAGCATAGCACGGAAGTTAAACCCAACCACGGCAACAAGAACACTCAGATTATAAATGAAAGCCGTGGTATTGGGTTTAACTTGTTGAACTAACGACTTACATGACATACCTTTATGACTTAGTTCTACTTAGAAAAAATGATTTCACTTAATGTATTTATCGGTATCCACGATAGTTTAGTTAATAGCACATCACATATATGGAAAAAATAAGTTGCATTATAAAAGGTAACTGGTCAACTCAACCCCAAGTCAACTCAACCCAAGTCAACTCAACCCTTAGTCAAGTCGACCCCAAGTCAAGTCGACCCTTAGTCAAGTCGACCCCAAGTCATCTCGACCCTTAGTCAACTCGACCCCAAGTCATCTCAACCCTTGGTCATCTCAACCCTTAGTCAACTCGACCCCACCATAAAAAACAAATAGATATACTATTTTCATGGTATGATATTGATGAATTTTGAAAGAATGAGGGACTAAAATGCTAATTTTCCAAAATAAAATTATCACCTATTGAAGTTTGTGCTTAACGCATTTATAATTTTTATAAATAACAAAATAATATTTGATTAATCTTCATCTTAATAGGACTATTCACGATGCTAAACATATATTTCACCCCTTCATATTTGAGCTTGTTTAATCTCTCTGAAATAAAAAAAATTATCTATACACTTTTCTGTTATACCGAAATTGTTGCAACAGTATTTTTGACAACAGGTAACTTATGCAACATGTGCATTGTGCCAACATCCATCCATTACTTTGTATTGAATGATTTTATATTTTGATAATAATAATAAACAATAAACAATATGATCCGGTTCCTTCTGATCTACAGGCGATAGAAATGTTTATTTTTTTGAAGTAAGATTTTAAAACAAGACTGAACAAACAATGGGATTTATGTTTTTCTATTTTCCATTATCTTACTCATATGTCAGGTGTCATAAACAATCAGATTGGGATTTTATGATCCAGTTTAAATCTTCGTTTTGATCTATAGGTGACAGAAATGTTTTTTTTCTTTGAAGTTTGATTTCAAATCAAACTGCACAAACAATTGGATTATATTGTATTTTAATCTACTTAAAACAAGTAAAATCATTTGGGTCGACTTGACTAAGGGTTGAGTTGACCAAGGGTTGAGATGACTTGGGGTCGAGTTGACTAAGGGTCGAGATGACTTGGGGTCGACTTGACTAAGGGTCGACTTGACTTGGGGTCGACTTGACTAAGGGTTGAGTTGACTTGGGTTGAGTTGACTTGGGGTTGAGTTGACCAGGAAGCTTATAAAAACAGTTAAGTCAGTTAAAGTCACGATCACTTTCTTATTTTATCTTATGAATTATTATTCATGCAAACTACTTTCCATGTCCGACTTTTCTGTGCAAGTAGATGTTGGCTTATCTCTTCATGTCACGCAAAGATTTTTGTATCATCTGAAGGTTTTGGCAGAGAGCAGTAACCTCATTGGTGATTCTTTACCGTAGGGCACAATGTCTAAAACTTGGTCCAGAGCAGATTTTGGACCAATGTGAAATAAGGGAATTCGGTGGTCACATATGAATAAATGATGTATCATTGGAAAGAAGAGGTACGTGGCTTCATGGTTAATCAATGTAAGTATCACTGGTTTTGTGATTTTTCAATGTTTTTGTTTGTTGCGTTGTTTTGAGACACATTGTAAGTATTCCAATATTCAAACACAATGTTCCTAACTGTAAAGTACACATACTCTTAAGCAATTACAGTGGAACCTGTATGTCCGAACACCTCTCTAATCCGAACTTTTGTGAATAGTCCACGGTATGACTTCCAAATATGAAGATCTGTAGCACACTAGCGCAGCATTTGAAACGATTAAGGAGATTAAGGAGATGTATGTGTCTTGATTCTTTTGAAATACCATTTGCTGAAAATGCCTTTCATCACAAGGGGTCAAAAAACGTAAATATTTTGACTCGGACTTTTATTCATTTATAAGACACGGGCCATTATTCTAAGATTACGTACACAATGGATTATCATAATTCAAAAATTAACTAAAATTTACACCGTAAATGACGATCTTCAATTAGCACAATTGTGCAAGTGTGCTTTCAGATTTTGTTTGATTTTTCAAATACGAGCCAAGCAGACAGGATTGTGAGAGATATTGAGGTAATTTGTGACTGCGAACATATTAGTTTTCTAACCATTTCAAAGATTTAATTACCTGAATTTATCCATATTATCGCAAGGGGTCAAACAACAAATTATTGTTCATGTTATATAAAACATAAGACAATAACAAATGTTACAGAGGTATTTACAAAAGCATGTCTAATAATCTCTAAAGGTTGCAATTAATCAAGGAAGAGCCACATGCCCTCCTTTATTGATAATGTTCACAGCAGAATAAAAGTCCATCTCAAAACGTACATCTCAAAACGTACGTCTGAGAGCCATTTTGTGAAAAACTAGCATAATTTAAGCATTTGTCATTCTAATGTAAAAGTGATTCTTTGTACTATTTATCTCATTAATATCTGATAAACAATACAAAACGTTGATACACTGATAACATGATTTTTTATGTTGATGAGAAAAATATCCTCAAACTTATCGCTTAGAAACCTAAATTATGTAATATTTAGCTATTTTGTA